GATAAAATGAATATTGATAAAGTTTACCTTTATGTACAGAATCTGAATATCGCAAAATATTTTTAAAAATTGCAATAATATCGTATCGTGCGTTAAGTATTGTGATAATATCGTATCGTGCGTTAAGTATTGTGATAATATCGTATCGTGGGATGTATGGTGATTCCCACCTCTACTGGTTTCACACCGGAACAATACCTACAGTTAGTTTCTGACCTGAGAAGAGCAGCTCAGACTGACACACTCTCCAATGTGGCTTCAATAATGCGATCATGCAAAGAAGAGTAACAATGTCAGACTGATCTGTAGTTATTGAAAGCATTTGATTGCTGTTGTTGATGCTTAATGTGCCACATTTTGCTCATACGTTTGGGGGCTGGCAATTACTCCTTAGCTTCAGTGATGTACTTTTTTTTTTTCTTGACATACATTTATCACTTAATTTCTTTGAACATCTGACACAGTACATATAGTAAGAGTTACATGAAGAAATTGAGAGAAGGTGGAAAACTTTACCTGCACTGTGAATAACAGTCACTGCTGTGTTGGAGATGATGAAGCTAATGCCTGCTCTCCCATCTCTCCAACCGAATCTCTCCCTCTTCAGAAGAGTGTTCTGGTGGACTCTCCATTGTCTCTCTCCTCTTCCTCTGGTCTCCCCAACATTTCGTCTCACCTGGCTCTTCCATCATCCATTTCTCCTGCTACAGCCCGGAGGGGTGGGGGTAAACCTGCCACACTAGCATCAGCGAATGTGGTTGCTGGAGCGAAAAAAGGAAGGAAGAAGAAAGACCCCAATGAGCCCCAAAAGCCGGTTTCAGCGTACGCACTCTTCTTCAGAGACACCCAGGCAGCGATTAAAGGCCAGAACCCCAATGCTTCTTTCGGGGAGGTGTCGAAGATCGTGGCCTCCATGTGGGACAGCCTGGCTGAGGAACAGAAACAGGTGTGTGCGTATAGTTATGCCTTCACTGACAAACAAAGAAGGAATATGTAGAATCCCCCTTTTAAAATGATTCCTTTTTAGCATGTCAGCATTTATTATAATAATTTAGAAAAAACTGCATCAATATAACACAAGCAAACTTCTTTTTCTTTCTTATAAGGTGTACAAGAGAAAGACAGAAGCAGCCAAAAAAGAGTATTTGAAAGCACTCGCAGCTTACAGAGCCAACCAGCTCTCTCAGGTAACGTCATGTTGTCTCTGAAAGAAAACCAGTCCATCGCTGTGCTTCTTGGGACTTACTTTTCTCATGTATTTAATATGGCCTCATTCTAGCCTGTTACCGAGGAGATGGAAACTGCCCCCTCGCCACCTCCACCTGTGGTTAACTCGACTCCTGCTGCCCTTCCCTCTGCCGGTCACCAGGGAGCCCGTGTGGCAAACAGCACCATGGAAGAGAACACCATTACTAACATCTGTGCCTCCAACATCATCCTGGACGTCCCAGAGGTGACCACACGTTCCCGCACGGGGGCAAACAAAGTTTCTGCTCCAGCAGCTTCAGTCGCTCCGACCCAGACCATCACCAAGATCATAATCCCCAAGCACATACTGCAGGGAGGTGGGCAGGTGGTGACCGTGTTGCCTGGAGGGGTCCGTGCCTTGCAGCCTACCCTCGTGGTATCGAACGCCTCGCGTCAGCCGCCTCCATTGCTGCAGATGCAGAATGCCCCGCCTCCACCTCGGCTCCAGCAGATGGCACCAGCGCCCCCACCTTTACAGGCCAAACCCCGCGAGGGAACACCAGGCCACCCTGTGTCCGTGACAGCTACACCGCCTCCTCCACTTCAGATAAAAATCGTTCCTGCCCCCATTCAGGGCAAACAGGCGCTGCCAATTATTGTCCCTAGCACAGCAGCCTCATCATCTACTGAAACCACATCTGCCCAGGCTCCACCTGTCGTGTCACTGCTGCAAGAGGACGATTCTGCTGAGACGTCAGGCCACGCAGACGACGATGACGACGACGATGTTACAGAAGTGCTGCCTTCAGAAGAGGTAAAGCTAGTTCTTTTTAAGATTCAGTAAATTTGGGGTTTATCCTCTTTTACAGGTGTTAGCACATCTGACTAATTTGTGTTGATTTAATTAACAGGTATGTTTCAGTTTTTTAAGGGTATAATATCCCTTCAGTGAGTATAGTTCATTCCAATGAAGAACAAATACTGTAATTAATGTTTTAATATCAAATATTCTAATAATCATTTATTCTGCCTATTGTTTTGCCTACACGTTTCTGCAGACAGCAGAGATTTCATCATAGGTTTTTGCATTTTTTTACTCTGATTAAATATCTATCTAAATATCATTATTATTATTATTATTATTATTATTATTATTATTATTATTATTACAAATTGATCGAAATACTCGACAAAACGCAGGGAATTCCAAAAATAATTAAAACTCTGCAGAGTGTTTCACACAGAAATTGAGTTGGACATGTTTTTAAATGAATGAATAAAAAATGTAAATAATGGAGCGTTCCCGTCCATATTTGGAGAAGAACAGTGGAAGACTCTTCAACAACTGTTTGCTGATTTTCACCTCCTCTGTAATACAGCATACACAACTTGGGGAAAGTACAAATTCCTGTTTGATTTATCAGTCTATGCAGATTACTCATTGCTTGAGTAATTTTATAAAGTTGGTCGGGGTGTGTGTATGTATCTACATCAAATGTATGAAGCAAGATATATGAAATTATGAAGCAAGAAAAAATGATAACTCTAAATATGTCTTATATTTTATATTTCTTAAAGTAGCCACCCTTTGCTTTGTTGACAAACCCTCGGCCTTCTCTCAATGAGTTTCATGATGTAGTCACCTGAGATGGTTTTCACCTCACAGGTGATCCTTATCAGGGTTCATTTGTGGAGTTTCTTGCCTTCTTAATGGGGTCGGGACCATCAGTTGTGTTGTGCAGAAGTCCGTTTAGTACACAGCTGACAGCACTATTTGACAACTGTTAGAATTCATATTATGGCAAGAAACAATCAGCTAAGTAAAGAGAAACGATGGTACACCATTACTTTTAGAACTGAAGGTCAGTCAGTCTGGAAAATTGCTAAAACTATGAATGGGTCTCCAAGTTTAGGCACAAAAACCATCAAGCACTATGACGAAACTGGCTGACATGAGGACCGTCCCAGGAAAGGAATAGCAAGAGTCACCTCTGCTGCTGAGGATAAATT